CATCCATAATGCCACTACATGTATATTTGAACGCAAAAAAACATTTACAATGATATAGTCATTCACAATGGTACAAATAAAATTTACAATGATANAGTCGACACAATCCCAACTCGATTGAAATGATCACAAATATTTATACATCTCAATTACAAATATGCAAGATAATATAATAAAAAAAACAAGCTCCAAACATGGCTACAACTCAATTATCAAGAACATATATTTTTTGCATTAAAAATTTAATAATAAAATTAAAAATTGCAAGATTTTGCATTAAAAATTTAATAATAAAATTAAAAATTGCAAGATAATATAATTATCGTACATGCCACGATTTTTATACAATGCTATTCACTTTAATTCTTCATGATAATACAGTTTAACAACATGTATTTTTTGTATTAAAAATTTAAAAAATTAAAAATAAATTTTTAATGCAAAATTGCATTAAAAATTTAATACAGTTTAACATCATGTATTTGTTAATGTATTTTTTTTGCATTAACAACAAATTCAAAAAAATACATTTTTGTATTAAAAATGTAATAACATGCTACGATTTTTTTACAATAATATTCACTTTAATTCCTCATGATAATACAGTTTAACAACATATATTTTTTGAATTAAAAATTTTAAAAATTAAAAATACTTCTTTAATGCAAAATTGCATTAAAAATATAATACAGTTTAACATCATGTATTTGTTAATGTATTTGTTTGCATTAACAACAAATTAAAAAAATACTGTTTTACATTAAAAATATAATAACATACCACGATTTTTTTTTCAATGATATTCACTTTAATTCCTCATGATAATACAGTTTAACAACATGTATTTTTTGCATTTAAAATTTTAAAAATTTAAAATATTTTTTATTGTAGAATTGCATTAAAAATATAATACAGTTTAACAACATGTATTTATTAATGTATTTTTTTTGCAGTAACAACAAATTAAAAAATATAGTTTTACATTAAAAATATAATAAAATGTATTTTTTTGCATAAATAATCTATCAACATACAATTTTTTGAACTAGAAATTTAAAAATAAAA